AACAGCAGTATGCTGGTCTGTCCTCAGTGTTTCCTGTCAAGTTCCTACAACAGTCCTCAGTGTTGTTCCAATGCATTTTTTTCCTTGGTTTTGGAGATTTTCTTTTCTATGTCATAAGACTGACAATGAAAAACTGCTTAAGAAATGAATGATTGCCAGCACTAGAGATGATTATTGCAATCTCAGAAAAACTTGGGTTTTTTTCCCCAATTTTTTTCTCACATGCTAAAATTATAAGGCAAAGCAATCACATATAGAAATATTAAGAATAGAAACTAGACCTCTGCTTAAAATTAACCATGGAATTACAGAATGGTCTGCATTGGAAGGGACCTTTAAACCCAGCCAGTCCCATCCCCCTGCTTTGTCTAGTTGCTACCCACCAGATTATGCTGCCCAGGGCTCCATCCAGCCTGGTCTTAGACTCCTCCAGGAATGGAGCATCACATCTTCTTTAGGCAGTCTGTACCAGTGCCTCACTATCCTGTCTGTAAAAAAATTTCGCCTAATTATCTAGTCTAAATCTCCCCTTTTAATTTAAAACCATTCCCTTATCCTATCACTATTAAGACAGTGTAAAAAGCCAGTCTGTTTATTTATAAACTCCCTTTAAGTACTGGAAGGCTGCAGTGATGTCTCCCTAGATCCCTCTCCAGAAGGAACAAGCCTCACTCTCTCAACTTGTCTTCATAAGAGAGGTGCTGTAGCCCTCCAGACTCACCCCAACAGTGAGTCACCCCATCTTTCTCATGCTGGGGATCCCAGCACAGAATGCCAGTAAGTTTTGCTTTGATTTATATGCAGATATAGACCTAGACTATACACTTGGAAGAAATTCCTTACTTTGAGGGTGTGAGACACTGGAACAGGTTGCCCAGTAAGGTTGTGATTGTTCCCTCCCTGGAAGCAATCAAGGCAAGGCTGGCTGGGGCTTTGAGCAGCCTGATATAGTGGGAGGTGTCCCTGCCTATAGCAGGGGGTTGGAACTAGATCATCATAAAAGTCCCTTCCAACCCAAACCATTCTATTATTCTATGAATTCCTTATTTACTAAGTATTCCACACTTCAAACCAATATGCCTCCAATCTAGGGATAAGGATGGTGTGAGCAACCAAGTCAAACGCTTTGCGTGTATTATATATAGTTGTTGTTTTCACTTCCTTTTCTGTTTAAACTGTTTTTATCTCTGCACATTAGTTTTACTTTTATAGTGGTTTAATCAATCCCCCTGGTGGACAGTTTTTGCTAAGCTGCCTGTGGGTTTAAAGCACAGCAGAGTCACAGATCAGGAATATCATATTCAGTTGTGATCTTGTTTTTCCTGCACTGCTGCTCCCTGGCTGCCTGTATAGTTAGACTATTGATATAGTCTTGAGAAAAGAGATTAACACATACTACATCATCCAATAGCAGCCTGAAACACACATTGTGGCTTGGTCTACCCACAAAACTTCTAATTTTCTCTCACTAAAGGTGAAGGAATAATTTGTGAGTGAACTTTGCCCATTATAGAGCACTTCTGTGACAAGTGCTAGGAAGATTCATAGCTCTATTCATTCTCTCACTTCCTTCCCACATAGCTTTCTTGACACAAAAGTATATTGACATCTGCCTACTAATCACAAGAGCTTCACTAACTGGCGTAAGTGCTACCACGTAGTCTTAATCTACATATATCTGAGTTTATGCTCATAAATCTGCAAAGTTAGAGGGAAGATAATTTAAAAGGGAAGTAAATTATACAGTATATGCCAAATAGCCAGGTTTAGTAGATACCATCTGTGTATTAATACCCTGTTTATGTGAGTCTGTAAAACTTTGCCTCATTACCACAACAAAACATCTTGAACCAAAACTGAACCATATTCTTCAGGTCAGTATCATAAACTCTGGACCATCTGAGTTCAAATAAAACAGTGGAAGTGTGATAGGAATGTCAATCCAAAGCCTAGACAGCGCACAAGGACAGGCTAAGCTACTACTCAGACAGAAGTGATAAGTGTGCGGGAGGGATGTCATTGTCCAGTGGTCTGGAAAGATCAATTTTTTCTTGTGAATTTCACTCACTTTAGAATGACATTTATATCATAGTCAGACACTAGCTCAGGATATCAGAGGACCTCTAATCAAGCATAGAGCCTGATTCTTCTACCTCACTCATCTCTTATGCTAAGTTGTTCCACCATTGAATTTCTGGATCTTCCTGAAGAACAGCTGACACACGATGCTGGTATTAGATATCTTTATCAGTATCTGAAGCTGAGGCAGGATCCTTCAATAACAGACATAAAGGCCACTTCTCTTAAACAATTAGCAGGCTGCATTTTGCATTAGCATTTAATATAATAATGTGATATGTTGTTAACATCTACTTATACAATAAAATTTATATACATTGTTCATGCAGATGCTTTTGTAGGTATGCATACACCTTGCTTCCCATTACAAATGGAACAGGTGAACAGATAAGTTAACAAAACAAAAATTGTCAGTGCACCTTAGAAATGAGTACAGTTTCTCAGCTTACGTTTTGTGAACACAAATAAATGTTAAGCTTACTGCTTTTAAAATGTCCTAACTTAGCGCCTCTGTATCAGTTATTACCAGCAGTCCAACTGCCTTGCTTCTTTATCATTGGAGAGGATTTCTCTTCATTTGAAAGCTCCATCCAAAAAAAAAAAAAAAAAAAGTCTGCACAAGAAATTAATTAGCTGAGGGAAGGAAATGGGATTCAAAGTGTTCTTCTGAATGGGAAACAACATCAAGAAAACATGAATTATGTTCCTTACTCTTATCTTCCACAAAACTCCTTTATTTTAAAATTTGTTGATACAGTTGCTAGTGCAATGAGTATTGATCCTCTTCAGGATCTACAATTCAAATAATACTGCAAGTACAGAGAAGAAGGTAAGATGTAACAATAATAAATTCCACAAAGATTTGAAAGTTGCGTTAAGAAACTTGCTGAAAAAACAAGTTGTCCAGGGTCAGAACTATTCTCAGTATAACTGCAGCTAGACTCACTGTTTTGTTTTCCACCTTACTCCTTCAAAACTCTCTTCCTACTGCCATCTTACAGATTTAGCCAGAATGTGATTGCTACCCCAATCAGTTGATCTATGGTATTGATGGTGTATTTGTGCAACACTGAATTATCAAGTGTTATCACTGTAGTTGCACCTGTGATAATAAGTTTGTACTGCTCAATAACAAGACAGCGGTATTTTGTTATTGATGTTATTGAATGGACATTGAATTTAACAGCAAAAAGTTAATAAGTTAATAAGTGTATGCAGAGAACAGTCAACTAGATAAACTAGGCCCTGAGAAGACCTCACTATTTAAAAGGAAGCTACAAGAAAGAAATGGAAAAATTCTTTAGTGGAGTCTGTCGCAATGAGACAAGAGGATATGGTTTCAAACTAAAAGAGGGGTGATTTAGATTGGATATAAGAGTTGGTTTTTAAAAAAAAAAAAACAAAAAAAACCAATAAGGGTAGTGAAACACTAGAACAGGTTGCCCATAGATGTAAGTGAATACCCCTCCTTGGAGACATTCAAGGTTAGGCCAGATCAGAGCATACTGATCTAGCTGTAGGCGTCCCTGTTCATTGCAGGGGAGTGGATTAAATGACCCTTAGAGGTCTCTCCCCACTAAAAAGCTTATGATTCTATGAATCTGCCTTCTCTTCAGAGTTTTGCGTAGAATCACAGGAAAATTCAGACTGAAAGGGATTTCAAGAGGTTTCTAACTCAATCCTCTTCTTGAAAGAGACATAGCTATGAGATCAGACTAGACTGCTTGGGACTGCAATCCAGATCTAGAAGGATGAGGAACAGGTGAGAAAAAGCATGACTAAGAGTGGGAGGGGATTCAATGGGAGGAAAGCGGTAGTGATTGTATTGAAGAGAAAAATAATCACAGGAGGGTGAAAGTTCTAGAGCAAACTGAAAAAGGCAGCTAGGCTAAGAAGTAAGCAAGTTAAAAAGAGCCTGCAGAAGAATTGCTGCAAAGAGGAAGGAAGAAGGAAAAGAGGAAGATGCAGTTATCTCTTACTATGAGACCTGGAAACTAACAGACAAGTAGAGTGAAGGAATAGATTGACAAAGGATGGAAAAACATAACAGCATTCACCTCACTACAAAGAAAGCTTGAATTCATCTCCACAAAGTGCTGGTCATACCATCTTGCCTTGGGAAAGTCCCTCCTGTCTCACCTTCTTTATAGCTCTCACTGAGAGAGTTGGATTGTTGGAAACTGGTGCAGAAAGCTTCCATATGCTTCACCTGGGTTGCTGAAACAGTACCTCATGACATCTCCCAAACCACAAAGAGGATAATAGTATACTATACCGACTGCTGGTTATTGTATTTCATATTACCCCCAAAACTATATGTAAAAATACACATGCTTACTTGATTGATCATATAGGGTTTTACTAAGTCATGCTAAGTTCCTTTACACCTTGTTTCAAGGCCAAATACATTCTAAAGGCTGTAAGGTTTTAGTGCTTATGTAGGAGTCATAAGGAGTCATAAAGTAAGTAAGCATGGAAGTACTTCTTCCTTATTTTTAACCTATATTATTGTGCTAAACACCAACTGAAACAATCCCACTATCATGCACAGTTTAAAGCTGCACAAGCAAGTAAGCTACCGGAGGTAGAATCATAGATTCACAAGGTTGGAAACGACCTATAAGATCATCTAGTCCAACCGTCTCCTCATCACCATTGCCACCACAAGCACTAAACCATATCACGCAGCACGTCATCCAGACGCCTCTTGAACACTGCCAGGGATGGCAACTCCACCACCTCCCTGGGCAGCCATTCCAGTGCCTGATCACCCTCTGAGAGAAAAAGTTCTTTATGTCTAATCTAAACCTCCTCTGATACAACTTGTGGCCATTACCCCGTGTCCTGCTCATTGCCTGGGAGAAGAGGCCAAACCCCTCTTCATCACAACCTCCCTTCAGGAAGTTATACAGTGCAGTGAGGTCTCCCCTGAGCCTCCTCTTCTCCACACTGAACAATCCCAGCTCCCTCAGCCGCTCCTCATAAGACTTGTGCTCCAGACCCCTCACCAGTTTCATTGCCCTTCTCTGGACACACCCCAGGACCTCAACATCTTTCCTGTAGTGAGGAGCCCAAAACTGAACACAGTACTCAAGGTGCGGCCTCACCTCGAGTAGAGGGGCTGAGTAGAGAGGGATGATCACCTCCCTGCTCCTGCTGGCCATACTGTTTCTAATGCAGGCCAGGATGCCATTGGCCCTCTTGGCCACCTGAGCACACTGCCTGCTCATGTTCAGACGAGCATCAACCAACACCCCCAGGTCCTTCTCTTCTTCACATTCATCCAGCTGCTCATCCCTAAGCCTGTAACACTGCATGGAGTTGTTGTGCCCAAAGTGCAGGACCCGGAACTTGGCCTTGTTGAACCTCACCCCATTCACCTCAGCCCAGTGATCCAGCCTGTCTAAATCCCTCTGAAGGGCCGCCCTACCCTCAGGCAGATCAACACCACCTCCCAGCTTGGTGCCATCTGCAAACTTACTGAGGGTGCACTCAATGCTCTCATCTAGGTCATCAGTAAAGATATTAAACAAGATGGGCCCCAGTACTGACCCCTGGGGGACACCACTTGAAACAGGTCGCCAGCTGGACTTCACTCCATTCACCACAACCCGCTGGGCACGGCCCTGTAGCCAGTTCCTTACCCAAAGAAGGGTATATCTGTTCAGACCACGGGCAGCCAGTTTCCCCAGGAGAAGCCTGTGAGGGACCGTGTCAAAGGCTTTGCTGAAGTCTAGGCAGACTACATCAACAGCCCTTCCCTCATCTGTCAGACTGGTCTCCCAGTTATAGAAAGAGATGAGGTTGGTCAAACACAACCTGCCTTTCACGAACCCGTGCTGCCTGGGTCTGATCCCCTGGACACCACACACATGCCGTGCAGTCTCATCCAAAATGATTTGCTCCATAACTTTCCCTGGTACTGAGGTCAGGCTAACAGGCCTATAGTTCCCCGGATCCTCCTTACAGCCTTTCTTGAAGATGGGAGTCACATCAGCAAGCCTCCAATCCTCTGGGACCTCACCAGTTAACAAGAAGCGCTGATAGATGGCCAAAAGGGGCTTGGCAATCATCTCCACCAGCTCCCTCAGGACCTGAGGTTGTAGCCCATCCGGTCTCATGGACTTGTGACAGTCCAGGCAGAGGAGGAGCACTCTGACTGTCTCCACCGAAATTGCTGGGGGCATTTTCTGAGCAGCGCCCCAGACTTCCAGATCGAGGCATAAAAAGCCTGGCTATTAAAGGCAGACGTAAAGAAGGCATTGAGGACCTCAGCCCTCTCCTTGTCCTCAGAGACCACATTCCTTGCTGCATCAAGTATAGAATGAGGTACTTCATTTTTGTCACTAGATGGCAGAAGACAGAAGTAAATTCTTCTATGTCATGGTAGCCTTCTTAATGAATGATTTTATTTTTTTTTTTTTTTTAAATGCCAGTAGTTTCATAAACTGGATAGTAAAATCAAAGTGAAAGATACAGCAGAGACTCTGAAATTAAGTAGAATAGATTTTAATGTTTTTAAAATGAAGATTTTCCTTGGAGAATCGCTGTGTTTGAATAGACCGGTATATTTTCAGTAATTATGTAGAGATCAGCTCGGTGGAACAGATTTTATGCATTTCAAACCCCAGAAAAGTTTTTCCAGCTTTCATTAGAAGACCCAGCTTTCATTAGAATTTAGGAACTAATTACTCAGAAGGAAGTTGTGAAACATCAAACCTCAGTGTTTGTTAGAATGAGAAGTCAAGATGAAATCTAAGAGTACTCTACACCAAGGATGCTCCTTTCTTCTGCTGAAGTGCTGCTAGGCACAGCTGAAGGACCAGAGGGACCAAGATCCTGCTTAGCGCTTCAAACAGGTTCATATCACCCCCTTCCCCCTGCGTTCTAAATCATTACAGTCATAAACTGTGGCTTAAACCTACATTAGTTTTAGATCAAAACCATGTAAGCACTTCCTTCAGTGTTACTAGTGCAAAGGGGCTTCTTAACACATCTGTTGCAAATACCTTCATTATTTCTCATACAGTATCATGCTTAGTGAGAGAGCTAGAATTACTTCCCACAGAATTGACAGGTTCTCTGGTCTGGAGGCAGGTCTGCTTTTCCCATAGAGCAGCTTTTGGTTTTAGCACTGGATTTGCAAATTAGGCAGTGTCTCCTCCAGCTCTACAAGCCCGTGAGACTAAAGTCCTGCAGAAAAACTGAAGTATCAGGTAATAAAGAGTGCAGAACCTTAAATTATGGTTTTATTCACAAATACATGTTTATCTTGGTAGGATTGCCCTTATTTTCAGATCTTCCAATGGTATTGCTGTCACTAGCAACCAAGTCTTAGGAGAAGCAGGAGAGTTGCTTATTCACTGGTGTAGTGTGAAGGAGAAAATAAAGAGGGAACATGTCTTTTTTTTTTTTTTTTTTACACTGAGAATCATTAGATTCAGAATGCCATTTCAGTGTTCAAAGTAATTAGCTCTTGATCAAGTGCCAAAAGAAGGCATGGAAGTTTGATCTGCAATTACCTACTTCATTCCACAAATGATTTGCACCAGCTAGAAAAACAGGATATGTCTTTGCAGCTACTTGGGGCTCCACTACAGAAACAGCACAGTAAATTCTAAATATATCGTCCTTCCAGTTTCTTGGTTTTTAAAATTTTGTCACTGAATTATTGAAGCATTTCAGGACTCCAAAAGATACCCTTACTTTCCATTCACTAAGTGATTTGTCCAACTGTTTCATTGTAAGAAACACTTCTTAGAGTTATTAGCTACATCCACCACATGGGGCAGTTGTTAAGACAATACAGACCCACTAGAACTGGCTGGCACAAGCAACCAGGTCCAGTCAAAAAGACCTCTACTCTCTCCCAACAGTATAGTAAGTTTGTGGGTGTTTTTTTTTTTTTTTTTTTTTTGTCCTTTACCATCTTTTGCTTTCATGTTGATATTTGACACATAGTGGGTGATCAGTTCACCTTCCTAGTGATAACGGCAACTGTTTGATGCTTTCCACTAAACCACCTCATCTGATGGCCCATTCCACATTTAGCATTAATCCTGTAAGATGCAGGATACTTTTCTAAGGTGTTCTAAAATATTTACCTGCAGACAGAAAAATCAGGTCATACTGAACTTAAGCCAAAGGACCCTTTGTAATTTATTGCAATAATCATTACTCTTTCACTTACTGCAAAGGAGGAATTTGTTTTGTAAGTATGTGTTTTCCAGTAGTGATTTTATATTTACTTCCAAATCACAGATGAAAGTACTAAAACTTAATACTTCCATTATTATATAATAACATTGCTACATATGCTGTCTGTAATGCAATAGAAAGACCAGCAAGGTCCTAGACTTCAGCAAGTGAAGATTTGCTCACATACAGCAGCCAAAGGCACAGAAAAGAAGAAAAGAAGCTGCTTACCTTCAGAATGCTTCAGCTATGCAAAGATCCCCAGCAAGATACATTTGTCTCCACTGCCAACCCTTAAATGAGCACTGAGAAGGGGTGGATCCTGGCTCCACCCCTTTCAGTCACTCAGGTGCATCGTGTGCACCTAAGCTCCCCTGGGTTGACCCTGCCTTCCCACCAGGTGCACAATTAGTGCTTCAAGCCATGACTTGTAGCATTTCCTGCTATACCCAGTAATCACTACTTTCTATGTTTATCTCTCAGATGGTTCTTCAGTTGTGCATTCACACTTTATTAATATTGTATAGAGTTATTCCTGGTTTGTGCTCAACAGAACATCATGGTATATGAAATCACGTCCTACACTTCCTGAGAATGTGAATATATTTCACCTGCATGGCTATCTTTAACAAGCCAGCTCAAAGAGGAATAGCTTATACTTTGTAAACCAATGTCAAGCATACTCAATTTCAATTTTCTGAGGTAGCTTTTTGTACAAATCACACCACCTAGCACTGCTTCCACTTCAATCCTCAGACTTTATTTCTAATTGCACCTTGAATAAACACTTTCTCTGATTCCCTAGAACTTGCCTCGGGCCAAAAACTTTATGCTTACCTGCAGCAGCCATCTCCACTTTATAATTCATAATATGGAACTGTATTTGATTATTCCAGAAACTTCTCAGAAATCCAGTCTTTTCTTATACTTACAAGGAACCAAGACACAGTTTTTCTTGTGATATGAGGATATAATGTTGCTTCTTTCCAGGCACATAACAGATTCTCCTAGTGAACACTTCTGCTATTCCTGCATTGTTACTAATGATTTCTTTGTCAAGCAGTGGCTTTTTGCCACTGCTAGGATTTACACCATACCCAGTGTATTTAAATCTCTTTTGTTCCTACGTCTGCTAGCCATGAATTCCTCTCTGATGCTTCAATGTCCCATCATAATTCATAATTTATGAAGTGTAGAAAATGTTATATATTTATGCTTTTTTATTATTATATATTGCCTTTTTGTTGTTTAATAGCCATTATCTATCTCACCGCTGAACTAGAATGGGCTTTAAGCCAGAGCTGTCTTACCTCCTGGGAAATAGAAACTGTTGCACCGTGCCTTCAGTCCACTAGATAATCTCTTCTCAAAGAACATTTAATTTAATACAGTTCTTATTTCCATTTATTAGAGCGGTGTTTAGGAATTAACTTGTCTTTTTGACACAGTCTATTGCAACCCCCAACTAGCACTCTTCCTGGACTTTGTTAAGATGTCGATCTATAAGCATTCAAGATCTCACAGTTCTACCTTAATCAACTTTCAGACAAGCAACATTGCATTTAATGTGAAAGACCTTACCCTTGTATGCTTTTCAGTCTCTCAATCCTTCATACATCAATTAAAAGCAGTTCCTCTACTATGGAGTAACTTTTTAAGGTGTTACAGAGGAGGATTACTACATAGAGATGTCACTGTATTTCTGTATTTCTGGCAGGTTACTGACAATACTTACAGAATGTGTAACTGCCTCCAAATCACCCAATGTCATTTTGAATACCAAAGACACATGGAATGGGAGGAAACATCATGGCACTTC